ATTGCTAATTTTAAAAGATTTTGTAGAAAAATAAATTGTAACTATTTTTTTTCTCAGGTCAGGAGGATAATCCCCTCAGGGGAGGCAGAGTTTTGTTCCAAAGATACCCAACAACGATAGCACATGAGGGTCGAACCCGAGACCTTGCTGTAACTACAGACGATCAGTCCCAACCGAGTTATCCACGGAGGGTCTGTAATTATTTGATGTATGTTATGTGAAATAAAAATGTAATTGAAAAATGTGTTTACAGAAAATGTAAAAATTTTTCTGCAAAAAATTACAGTCCAAACAAAGCTGGCTCCCAGATATGGACTGAAATTTTGTCCATATGTAGAGTCTATGTTCTTGTTTGCTCAAGTTTTGTAAAAACTGATTATGAAAAGTGAATATCGGGAAAAATAATCTAAAGTTATTATCACATAAATTCTAGATTTTTAACCTATTTTGAACATTAAAATTTTTAAATCGATGTGCAAAAGCAGTGAGAACATAAAATAAAAGAAAAAATTGATTGTACAAAATCAGAAGGTGAAGTAATCAAATTAGCATAGACATGGAATATCAAGTACAAAAACTTACTTACACAACTAAACATGAACGGTGTTGCTAAATTTTTGACGCTAAATATGTGTAGTGGAGTGGAGGATGAAAAAAATAAATGAAAAAAAAAAGATAGGAAAAAGGCGAAAATGCAACTGGATTATTCTCTGAACCACTAAATACTGTAATAACTCTCGAAAGCAATAAAAAGAAAAAAATGCACAAAAGAGGGACACAGCACAAAGTAGATGATTTGAAAGAGGTGCTTTTTTTAAAAAAAAAAAAAAAATTCACTTTTGATATTTCCTTTTCTTTTAACTTTGTTAGTTTATTTATTACTATGTTTTTTTACTTTGTAAATAAAAAGAAATAAAACTGACTCTGGCCCATCGATTTCAGAGGCTGGTCATGGAATGGGCTCAATCATTTTCCAAACAGCAAACAAGAGACAACCCATGTCGATATGGCGTTACAATCGCATTCGTTCCAAAGTTCTGTTTGACCGAAGTCCATCTAGACAAAGTGATGGGTTGCCATCCTGTTCAGATGGGAACAGACCAAGTTGCCACCTCTCACTATATAATTGCACTACCCTTTTTTTTTTTTAGGTTATAATCACTTTACCGATTTAATATTTGGTATCACTGTCAATTTTTTCATTAACATTACTTTTTAGTCACTTTATTTTCCAAAATTAATGATCAAACTTAATGGTCAATTTTTCCCTTAACATCAATATTTTTTTTAAAAACACAATTTTATCTTTAAAATGATGATAAACCCAGAGTCAATTCCATCTCATTCTAGTGAAAAAGATCAAATAATCAACAACACGATTTTTTTCTTAATTGCTGAGAATGAAAAAAATCTTTCTTCTTTAAATTAAAAAGGATTGAAGGGTTTTTGTCCACATATGAGCTTCATTTATTTTAAACCAATCATATGACAAATATATCCAAATCATTAATTATTTAGTTGCCTTAGATGTATAGGATGACAAATGATCCAGTCTAATCCTCAGTTGTATTGTGGTTCATTTAGTCTAACGCCTATATGTAAGCAATCATAGGACAAATATATTTAAGTCTTTACTTAGTTGTCTTAGGTATGTGGGAGGACAAATGATCCAGTCTAATGTTGAGCTGTATATATTGTGGTGTACCCCCTAAGATATATAAATGTTGTAGCATTTCAGGAAATTAGTATGTACAACATTGTATGGATAACTTTTTTATACGCTGTCGGTGTATAATTTTTTTTACACTAGTAAGTTTAGATCATGCCACATAATATGAACTTAAATTGTACAAAAATATGCCATACATCTAAAACCGTTAGTATAAAAATAAATTTTTTTTACTAAACTGTTAGTGTAGTAAAAAGGAATCCATATTCCATCTTGATTAAATTATCTGAATCGTGTATGATTGGTTCAACTACAGAAAATGGTCAAGAAAGGGAAGTCTACATCAAGTTTTTATGAGTCAAACGAGCAAATATGGGTTGTTCTCAGCTTGGCCAACAACCCATCTTCCATGGCTATGGCCCCTGCATGTCAAGAATAATGGGTTCATCCACTCATTTCCCTTTCCTTGTCTGTTACAAATGAAACAAAATTTCTTGCAATAATGAGGTCCCGTCATGTTCCATGCAATTCTTCTTTCTTTGTGCAAGAAATTAATATCGGCAGTGAACTTTGATCATAATATAACTCTCTCAAATCTTGCAACTAACTCAAAGGGTTTCAATTTCATCATGGTTATCTGTTTTTTGGAAGGATAATCATACATTATATAGCGATATATACAATGTGACTATGGAAAGTTGACAATAGACTAAACAAGAAACGTCTTAAACCATAAATTTTCAATCTTTTTTACTACCGCAGAACAGAAAAAGAGGATTGGTGATAAAGACTTCGCCTCTAACCTTTGTTCTGATCAATGAAAGCAACTGTAGTAGTACATTATGTTTTTTTACAACTGGCTGGATATCAAGGAAAATGTACGTTCAGAAAACGAACTAACAAAAAAATGCACAGAAAAAAATTGGACATTGTGTAGAGAGGGAGAGGGGGGTCAGATCGTGGAACATGCTCACATGGCTTTGCACGTTGTGTAGAGGACAACCCTCTTCACAAAATGTGCAAAATATCCACAATTTCTTGTTTTCTTCTCTACATTATTCTTTGGCCAAACTTTCAACGCTCAATCATTACTGCTTAGGTTGATGGTAGAGGTAAAAGAAATTACCACAGCATTAGTATTTCAAAATTTCGAGATCGTAGAATTTTGAGTTTTTACTCTTTTGATTTACATGCAATAAATTAGAGTAGCTACTACCCTAGTACTTCCATTGTGGTACACTGAAGTTGTCATACTTTCAAACATCAAAAGTTTGTAATTTGAATTTCGATCATAACCTTCTTTAATGCTTGCATGTTTTGTCATTTTCCTACAGTAGAATGACAGTTTCTTGAATCTTTTTAACTCTAAAAAAAAAAAAGGAAAACAAACAGAATTTTAATTTGTGGAAAGGAGTGAGCATGAGCTTGCAATTAGGCATACGTTGTTTTGCCGGACTGTACGCACATTTAGAATTAGTTAGGTACTTAATTAAATGTAGTTAGACACTTGGGGAGGTTGCTAAGCCAACCATTAAAAAGATTAGTGAAAGGCACCTTTCTTTCTTTAACTTTTTGCGGGGTAGTCTTTTTTTTTTTTTTTTTTGGTTTTCTAGCAGGAGAAGGATAAAATTGAAGAAGTGGAAAGGGAACAGGATAATTAAAATCTATGACATCTAATTCGTGGAATTTCAACCTTTTTGCGGGGTAGCATAATTCTTACTTCATATCACAAAATTATCCAGAACCAACAACATCTTGTTCATCTCTTTAATAACAATGAAAATGACAAATCGAGAAGAGAGGATGGAATAGTTGAAAATAAAACCTTTGTTTTACAAAGAAACTTAAAATAATTGGATTATATCCCACTCTCAAAAACCGCCGTCTATCTTTTATTTGTATTTTTTTTTATTTTCAGATATGGAAGGTTTCAAATAATTCATGACATATATTTATTCTTGCTTTCTATTGTACAATAACTTATTTTTGAATTTTGAACAAAGCCAAGTAAAATGCCTTAAATGATTTTCATAAAATGAAACGGAGGACTAGTACTTCTTATTTTTGCATTTTGCAGAGTGCCCAGATGGATCATTGTTACATCTCAAACTCGGTATCCTTGCCGTGCTTGTCATTTTGGTTGGTAATTAGTCTTGTCTATTTCTTGCATTAGATATTATAACTTTATACGAACAACATTATAGAGTTGATTAATTTCCATATTAGATTCCATCAATGATTGGGAAAAAAGAAGAACCCAGGAAAGATACAGTTGGAAACTAATGTCAAAAATTGTTGGAGATGAATACATCAAAAGTTATAACTTTCCCTACTAATTTTAAGGCTTAGTAGAGGTTGCCCTACTAACTTTTCCGTAGTCCCATATCGTTTTTTCGGGATTGGGGGGTTGGGTAGTTAAGTTCTTGGGTTTGCCTCAAGAGTTGCCGGCTTTTTGGGGTTAAATTTGGGATTAGGTTTAATTAACTAACTTCAAAAGTCTGAAAAAAAAAGAATACATTATTTTTTTTTATGTATGTTTTGTAAGAAGACACCACTGCCATGTGCTTAGCAACATAAATGGTCCTTAAACATATATGTCATATAAGCTTACTTGTCAAACTTATCCACATTTCTCCTCTGTTAATTAGCTAAGCTTTTAATTAATTTACACATTTGGTTTTGTCCTTTTCGCATGTGGAGATGCATTATGCATAGGTGCTATTCATTGAGATAAATAACTCACGAAAGTGAACTTGAATTCTATGCATGTATTCATGCATATGTTTCGATATGAGCGATTTAGCTTAGGAATTGTGTAACAAGTTTTCTTGGGGCACTCATAATTGAGATATTAAGTGTTAATATTTTAAAGAGTAAATCTCATGTACACTGACTGACAGTATATATACTATACTGTCATGGTTAGATGCATGACATATATGCAAAATTAATTTGGATTTTCAAATTCAAATTTGAATTATGTGTCATGCATCCAATAGTAAAAGTGTATACACTGTCAATGTATAGAAGATTAATTCTACTTTTAAAAACATAAAATTAAATTAAGTAAATTATTGAATAACATGGTACAATAAATATTGTGAATATCTAAACAATGAGTTGTGTATATTAATAAGAACTGCTGTCAGGAGTATTTGCAAATCCCTTAGCATTATAACTAACCCATATGCCAATTATTTCCTGTATCTGATCAAGATTGACTACTGAAAATTAAGTAGTGTTCATTTCCCTTGGAGATCATGTGTATATCACAGAGTAAAAGTTGTCATAAGCTGGCAGTTTCAGACTCCACATCATATTTTAATTTGATGGGAAAGACTAGTAATAACTAATAACAATAATAATAACTATTCCAACTGCAAAGCCTGCAATATACACAAAGCATTCACAGACTTTGGCCATTCAAAACCTACTTTTGTTAATACTCTGTACTGGGTAAGTTTGGTGGGAGAAGTTTTAAATTCTTGAATTGAATCTTGCTCTAAAAAATGGTCCACCCCATTATTTTACCTGTGAATTTCATAGAACTTTTCCTCCTTTCCCTACTGCTTTTATTCAGGGCCAGAGGATATCAATTTCAGTCGAGTCTTCAAGAATTGTTCCAGATCATCCACACCAGGGGCTTCTGAGGTCATATATATATATATCTCTTTGGCAAAAGCACACAATATTTTGGTTTGGCAAGATAAAAATATTTTGATCTGTGTAGATATGTTTGTTTTGTCTTTGATTAGAAAACCTGAGCGGTATTATAAATTGATTAAGAGTTAAAGACTGTAAGTTTAACTCAAGGATTAGACCCCAAATCAAGAATTGAAATGGTACATTTTGGTCCCACTAGTTAAACCTATTTAAAATTCAAAGACAGCTGAAAGTAATAATGATGCATGTTACAAAAATATTGTAATAGTAGAATCTACAGCACTATCTTATTCTTATCCACCTTTAAAAGTTACCTAAGTTTGTGGTCCTAAAATCCTACCATGTGTAGTTGGCTGCAACTTCTGAAGGCTATAAATTGAGGAGGGGCATGCAACTTTGATTCTCATCAAACATTTTCTTTCAACTGCAAAACTCCCAACCTCCAGAAAGATTCAAAATTTATCTTCTGAAAAACCAAAACTAAAGATGGTGGCTAGAGCAGCAGCAGCAGCAAAGAAGAAGCAGGGGCAGCAGAAGCAAGAGGAACATCAACAAGTGCAGAAGCAGATCATCTTGCTTAACAAAGGAAAAACTGGCAAGTTCAAGAGAAGCACTTCCAATCTTGAAGAAGATGGCATTTCTTCTGCTATGCTTTTGCTTGCTTGCATTGCCTGCACACCCCAAAAGGTCTAAAACATTTGGGGGCCTAGTCATGTTTAAAGACGAGATTTTGATCCTTTAATCTTGTACTCCTTTTATAGGATCATCTACAATATTATTAGTTTTGAAGTAACCAACTACCTAGATTGATAATATAGAGTCTGTATCTTCTATTATTTCTTTGTAACTAGTAAAACAATAAAGTACCATTAGATATAATTACCTATTTACCATGATCACCATTTGTCTCCCCATAATTTGCATATCCCCTTTTTGTTATCTAATGCGCTTCCACTAAAAAAAAAAATTAAGTTCAAACTTTACAACATGGTAACCTTTGCAACTGCTGTCTATATTCAGAAACTCCCTTTACGTACATAATAAACTTCATTTGTACACTCCCTTTTACTTACTCTTTTTTTTTATTTTTTTATTTTCTGGTTGGGGGGGGGGGGGGGGTGGGGTGGCGAGGGAAGTAACGTCCACATGGAGTATCAAATTTTAAGCTATTTGGAGTAGAGAAGCAAAAGTTAAAGGATTAATATTTTCTACGCTGACAGTGTGTCAGCGTTAAATGAATGACAACTATGCAAAATTTGAATTTAAAATTCAACTTTTGCACATGTGTCATGTATCAAACGATGATAGTATATACACTGTCAGTGTATATAAGATTTACTCAAAGTTAAATAGCTTTTGAAGAGCACATAAACAGTAGCTTCCTTGGAATCAAGTTATTCTGAATTGCAGAGGGTATATTTTGCAATTCTGTTCAATGAATTTGATTAAACTACCACCGATAATTGGACTTAATTGCTATACATTACATTTCCTTGCAGGAGAACATTAATTTGCTAGAAAGCAGAGGGACCGGTTAGATATATATTATCTGGTTCCTAAATCAGCAAATTGATAGCTCCAGTCACTCTAAAAGCCGTTAATAATAATAATAATAATAATAGGGGGGCATTTGCTAATTCGTTAGAGTCTAAATTGTTTTAAAAAGATATTTCAAAGCTCAAAAAAAGAAATGACATTCCGTGAAGGAACAAACAGAAGTGATACGTCTCAATGACATTTGCTAATGAGTAATCCTTAAAATTATTTATAAAACGACTGATAACAACAAAATCCATGTAAACGGAAGAAATTAACTTCAATTTCAAGGGAACCAAGTCAATTGAGTTCTTGGTTGGTATTTTATGGGGATTGACTGATATTGCACTCTTTTCCTCCCAAAAGGGCATTGGTACAATACAAACAACCAGATCAAAGCAAACAATTACCTGTGCTTGAAAAAAAGTGAAAATGCCCAGATGCAAAAGTACAAATCTGGGGAACATTTGCGCCCAGTTCTCTAATTTGGTGTCATCCACAATCCACATGCCTCGAAATTGTATTCACATGGGGTTTCCTACCCATTCTGTTGGCGACCAAGTGACCAAGGTTCATGCACTCAACTTACTTTTGGAAGCGTAGGAAATAGGACTTGTCCTAGTCGCTTGGCCCAGTCGTACTTAGATTTTTCATTTTCTGAGTAGAAAAAAGCTCGAGTCGTTTGATTTCGGTCACCATCACGATCAGAACATGAATCATACATCGCTTACGACAGTTTTTAAAGATTGCTCGTTTATATAGTTCTCATTTCGACAATAAATCATAGATCGCTCACAAGAATTCTTATAGCTTACTCATTTATATAGTTCTCATGTCGACAATGAAATTCGAATATACGATCTTTTATATGAAAGTTTTCCGTTCTTCCGGAATCAACTTGTATTGACAGTAGTAAGATAGAGTCCAATCTTGGGCGGCCGCATAATTAATTGGAGGCATAGCAAGACAACCAAGACAAGTTCCCTAATTCCCTATCTGCTTATCCTTTTGCCTTCCCTTTTTTCTTGTTTGATTTTGTATTTGGTCCTTGTCTTGTCTAGTTATTTTTATCTTTATCTTTCTCCAGATGCTTTATACCGAGTTATAACATACATATCAAATTTATTGCAACAGAGCTAGTTGCTCAATACTATTTATTTGTTTCCTAAATCTTGTAAAGGCTCCTAGTTGATTTTTTTTGGGTTAATTACATTTACCTCCCCTGAGGTTTGGCCATATTACCAATCAATCTCTATAATTTGTCTAAATAACGGTCTCACCCTTTGAATGATCAAACATTTAACAAAAACCCCCTTAATGCCGAAAATGGCCTTATTGAGGCCATGTTGCATTAAAAAAAGAACATATTTTTATTTTATTAACCCTGAAGCAATCCAAAAAAATAGAAAAAAGTTGTTGCTTATTATTTTATAAAAATCATATCTTTGCTTCCATAAATAGTTTTGAATCAATAATTATTTTAAATCTTAAAAATGAATATTAAAAATTACATAAATTGAAAGAAAAATAAAAAAGAAGCAATTATTTTAAATCCTCAAGTATGGTTTGAATTTGTGGTTCAAGACATGTTGCGGAGAGTACAAGGCATGTTTTCCTCAACTGTCCTTATCTTTCAACTGATGGTAGTATGATTATGAAATCGGTTTGCAGGAAAATTCGAAACTGGTGCTCTTTGTTGGCAGGATAATAATGGATGATCATAAGCGATTGCATTTGCATAACAAAACACATAAGAAAAGAATAATCTTGTATTGTTGTGAAGGAAATGTGATGGTTTTTGAGATTGATTTCTGCTGCCTTTGCTTGAAGTTGATGTCAGTAAATTCCTAAAAGTAGAATCAGAAAATCGAGGGGGAAAAAAAACAGAGACTAGGATTTGGTTACTTCTCAAAGCTTGTACTGTTGAGGTTGATTTTTCACCAGCATCCCATTTCAATTTTGAATCATTTTTCAAATTTGAACATTCTCCACTACTAGCGGTTAATTATCTGGCAATTCTTGACATGGAGTTCTTGCATTTAGAATTTTTTCCATTGCCAATTAGCTAAACACTGAAGCTTCTATTTGAGATCAAATGGCCTCAAATTTGATTCAGAAAGTATATGTAGACCAGGAAAAGCTAGGTTACAAATGGCAAAAGATGTGATCAATTTTGGAGATTGAAAGCAAGAGAGAAGTTTAAACTCAAAAAAAAAAGATAAATGTGCGAGTCATGCTTGATCAAAAGTTAGTTAAGGACAAAACTTGAGAACCTATGACTTAGAACAAAGTAAAAATTTTTGTCAAGTCCTAGCAAGCTGCGGAAATCATAAATCCTATAAAGAGCTTAATGGCTTTGTTTGTTGACGTAACAAAAAACAATGAGGGCTGGGCAAAGGGAGGACTCGTAGAATTTTTCCCACTATCAGAATCAGGATTAATAACTGTGTGGAGAAGGATATGTCAGACGGCAACAAAAAAAAAAAAACTAACAAAAAAGACAGGGAAAGTTGTCAAAACTCAAAAATGTTATCTCCTCTGAATCTGATATAAAAGAAGCCACTCGAGTTGAAGCTGTCACAGCTTTTCTTTGGAAACGTTTCGTGGATGTCGGGAAAGCTAAAATAGGAGGCAAAACCACATTTGCTGCGCTGCATGCTTTAAATCTGAGGCCAAGAGTGAAGCCACCTTGTCCAGAGCATACTTTTGGAAATCTCTGGAGGTTTATTCTTGCATTTTCATCTTCTAATCAGAGTACCACCACAGAATATGAAGACTTACTAATCCAACTGAGAAATGGGATTACAAGAGTGAATATTGAATGTCCCGAATATACACGGAACAAAGAGAAGAATTTGGATTATATCATGAGGTCATTGGGATTATTCTCCAAGGGAGAGATGGATATTTGTACATTTAGTAGTTGGTGTAGATTTCCTATTTATGAGGTGGATTTGGGGTGGGGGGAAGCCTCTTTGGGTAAGCACAACAGCCATTCCTTTCAAGAATGCTGTGATTTTGACGCCTACAAGAAGTGGTGATGGAATTGAAGCATTGGCGAACATGGTTGAAGACGAATTCGAGATGCTTCAACATGATGACGAGTTCATTTCAGTTCTTGCTCGTGCATGATGTTGTTCCATATTATATGATCAAGAATGATGCCGAGGCTTGCCTTTCAGATTTACTCTTGTAACGTAACTACTCTTTGGACCCTTTCAATTTTACACTGATTTTCACTCTGCATACCAAACTTCTAATTTGTTAGAAAGGATATGGATTTCCAGCGTAGTAGATTTTGTGCTTCAGCAAACTCAGTTGGCTGTGAATTTATTTATTTATTTATTTTTATATCACTCACTCAGATTACAATTTCAAATTTACATTGAACAGAAAAGTTGCAGTATTGCACAAAAACAGAAACACACAAGGAAGAGACAGAGAGGAATGGAAGGGAAGGATAGTGTTGTGGTTTAGGAGTAAATAAGACATACACTCATATCTTGACAAGATTTTAAATTAGAGGTGAGAACGGGAACAGATGAATAATGAAGGGCACGGAATGAATAACAACTGCATTCAAGGAATCAGAAGAATATTGCAAAGTGTAGAAATCAGAAAAATGTAGCAAAAAAAAGAGAAGGATATTGTTGTGGTTTAGGAGTAAATAAGATACATAATCATATCTTGACAAGATTTTGAATATTTTGGAATGTATAATAAAATTTGGAACGTATGAATTACGGGTGAGAATGGGATTACATGACTAATGAAGGGTATGAAATGCAAAAAAAAAAAGGGTTATAGATCCACCAAAGAAACCTATAAATAAACCTTGGAGGCTTGACTGAAACCGTTTCTGTCAACACCAATTATTTTCTTGAAATTTTGTAGTCGAATGGTGCTTACAAATCATTGGCATATATTATTGGTCATTTTCCTTGGCCAGTTTGTTTAAAATACCAAATCTATGCACCTCTCAATTCTAAACTCAAGCTCTGGTATAAATAACATTCATTCGTAATTGTACAAATAATCAATCAATAGATTAAAGGTATAGATTTAGGACGGAAAGGTGTGGATTTAATCCCTCCATTTCTTGGGCAGAATATTGGGATTGCTGCTGATCTGAAAGTCCAAGCAGATGGCATAGCTGTCAACCTTATCCTTTCTATTATTCTTTATGAAATATGTACATTAAAGAATCATAAAAGCTAATGGCAATTCCGAATAGGTCCATTTTTTAGTACCTCTGCACTCTCAAATAGATTTCCACTTGCTCGTATAATTTAACGACATCAAACAATCACTAACCACTAAATTCCCAAAAGGGGTTAAGCATTAAAGTGCTTGTTGCAATCATTATTCATCTTTCCAAGAGCAATTATGGAGCATTTGTTATTGGTTTCAAAGATTACGATCTCTCTCCCTTGATAATTTAGCCTGTAAAATATTATAATCTTCCCTTGGTAGTGGATACATTCTTTATTTGTTCGAAAATTCGTTCCCAAGTACTCAAAGCAAGGTTGGGTTCCTAATGCTGCCTATAAAACTGCCTCATTATTTCAGAAGTGATACTTGTGATGAGCAAAAATAATGGCACAGGTAGAGATAATATTGAAGGAGTACATCAAGCCATCTTCTCCGACACCCCTTCACCTCAAACATCAAAATCTGTCCTTCATTGATCGTCTTCCAACGCCAATCTATCTTCCCTTCATACTATTTTATCAAAATCATGCTTCATCTGATCGCTCCCAAATTTCCCAGCAGCTAAAACTGTCCATATCTCAAGCCTTAACCAAGTTCTACCCCTTAGCAGGAAGGATACAGGATGACGTTTTCGTCGATTGTAATGATTCAGGGGCTTTATTCATCGAAGCTCAAGTTCATTCTTCCCTTTCAGAGGCAACTCAAAACTTTGTAATTGAGGAATTCAACCATTATCTGCCAATAAAGCCTTACGAAATTATTGAGAATAGTTTGAGAAATGATGTCCCATTAGCTGTTCAAATCAGTTTCTTTGAGTGTGGAGGCATGTCTGTTGGAGTTTGCATATCGCACAGAATAGCTGATGCATTGTCTGTCGTGATGTTCTTGAATTCATGGGCTGCTATATGCAGGGGTAGTGATGATAGGGAGATTCTGACACCAAATTTTGATGTGGGATGCCTTCATTTTCCTCCTCCAGAAGATGTCCCCAGAGCCCCTTTGATATCAGTTGCAGATAAACAAAAGATTGTTGCAAAGAGGTTTGTATTCAGCAAGGAAAAGCTGGAAAGAATCAAAGAACTAGCTTCATCAGACTCCACTTCCACAATAAGGGATCCAACTCGAGTAGAAGCGCTTTCCGCTTTCATCTGCAAGAATTTCATTGAGGTAAATCGGTCAAAACTTGATTCTGAAACCATGTTTGTTGCAATCCATAATGTGAACTTGAGACCAAAAATGAAATTACCACACGATGAATTCGCCTTTGGGAATGTTTCCCTGCCTATTTCTGCCGTGTTGATGCCTGAGATGGAGAAAGAATGCCATAATTTAGCTGGACATTTGAGATATGCAATAAGAAACGTAAATGATGATTTTGTGAAAAATGTTGTTCAACAGAGAGAGCCTTATCTGAGGATTTTGAGTGAAACAAGGAAACTTTTGTCTAAGACAGAGATGTGTTATTGTAACTTTACCAGCTGGTGTAGGTTTCCTGTATATGAAGTGGACTTTGGCTGGGGAAAGCCTTTTGCAATTGGCACGGCAGCTGTGCCTAGGAAAAACACCATAATTTTGATGAGTACCAAATGTGGTGATGGAATAGAAGCATGGATTAACATGGCGGAAGACCATATGGAGTTGCTCCCAAGTGACTTTCTTTCACTTGCAAATCATGATTTTTAGAGAAGAACGTGGTGGCATGAATTGTGAACTCTCATGTCTGAGTAAATAGCTACTAGTTTTAAAGGATTGTGGCACGTATGTTGTACCCAACATAGTCACTGAACAACAAATTCCATTTGTGGAAAAAAGTGATTTCGATTTGCATCCAATTTTAATTGGTCCTTAACTCAGTTTCTGTCATGATGATTTCTCGTTTTATTATCACTGCGAATTGTGGTTGTAACTTGTAAGAAGTGGAGTATCATTAGTAGGTAAACTAAAAGAATGTGTAAAACTATAACTGCCTATCCCTTGTTTTTTTTTTGCTTTTAGCAATTTGATAGACCAGTAAAGTGTGTAAATTATGAAGCAAGAAAAGAATTTTAGGTGAAGTGCTATTCTCTTCAAAGACACGTCCAATTTCTCGAACGACATAATATAAGAGAGGAAAGGAAAGAAATACACCAACACAAACTCATATAATCATTCATAGATTGAATTCACTTTGGGAAAGATTTCAATATTTTCAACATAAGTAGATAACGTCCCAACAGAATTCAGCCAAAACTTTCGTTGTCCTCTCACGTGCCCGGCGTGTGATTAGAAGCATTCAGTCCTTCGCGCCTTGCGCGTTAGCTTCCCACCTGGCCTCGTTGCCAGTGTCCCATGTGCTTCTGCTGCATTCTCTCTTCCTGCTGCCTTCTCTCTGCAGCTGCTCTCTCTCTCTTTCTTCTGTCATTCTTTTTCCTCTTTTCTCTTTCTCTTCTTCTTTCCACAACAATGTTGCTCTGTCCTCTCAATTTCTCTCTCCTTTCCTCTAGGGTTACGTACATCCTCATACTTTGTCCATTCGCTCCTCCTCCTCCTCCGTCGACACACTGTCTCCCTCTCCTCTATCGGCTCCTTTTCTACCCAGCATCAGAGGTCCGCTTTCTCTCACTGGCCCTGGGATTCCCCTTTCGCCTCCTTCTGCTTCAAGTTCAACCTCGCTGTTCCCTTTTTTTTTTTTTATACCATTTCTCCTCCACCGCCACACCTTCTTCCTCTCATTTATCTCTCAGCCTTTGGGAGGCCTTTCAATTCCATAGCAAGATCCTCGCCATCATCGGCATCTCTCACTGCCTTTCCTCCCTAGATCTCCAAACCCTCCGGACCCAGACCCTCGCCCTTTATAGGCTCGACTGACAGGTGTCGTGCCTGTGCAATAATAAATACCTGTTTAAGAAAAATAAATTTTCTGTGTATAGTAGTAAGCAGGGTCGAATTCACAGGGACTGGGAAAAAATTCGATTCTTTTTAAATTCGAGACATGGGGGATTTTTATCAAAATGAAATATAAAATAAATAATTAAACAATTTAACTAAAAACAATTAAATAATTTAACCAAAAATAAATAATTAATTAATACAATTGTAAATAGCAATTAAATAAATAATAAATAAATTCTAGCCAAGAATACAACTACGCAGTCCATTCATCCGATCATTGATGCACAGGGGTTCACTTAATTTAATTAATAGGCTAGTTATAGCCGCCGATAAACTCTAACGACCAGCTTTTCCTTAATTTATTGATAACCAAGGTACGACCGTTGATTACCTCTAACCAGGAAATACTCCTAAGTACGACCGTAGGAATTAATTTCTTAATTGCATTAAAAACTAGAAAAGCCTAGCCCAAATTAATAACACGCTACGAGGGTTATTTAAATCAGATTGCATGTTCTCCTAGTATGTGAAAATATTAGTTGCCACTAATATTAACCAACTAAACAATTACGGATTTAATTGATTAATTTGACAAGAGATTAAAAAGTCAAATTGCACATCGGGCCCTTGATATCCAATTAACAAAATAATCCCATGAAAATTAAAACAGAAAACATGCAAATATTAACAAATTAAGGAACACGTAAAATTAATTAGATCTCACAGATATATGGGACTGCGTCGTCGCGTTGATCCTTGACTAGAGGAGAAAATTAGCCACGCCTCATAAGAAAATTCCCACGCAATTCAATTGAATTCATAGACATAAATAAGTAACTAAGAATTTAGGAAGAAACTTGAGTCTCGGTAGACTCTTTTAAGAAAAGTTGCACACCACACAACAAGAGAAGGAAGAACTCCTTCTCTGAAAACCAAAAACTACCTCTAAGCTCCTACGGAGCTTCTCTGGAAAGAAAACTAAAACTTCCTTGTCTCCTGTCTTCTGCCATCGTCCGATATATATAAGGCAAGCCTTTAGTCTTCATAGCTTTTTCATAGTCTTTTCTCCTTGAGCCCATTAATCTAGTGCCTTCTTATTTTATTGGAGCACTAGTCTCTTAAGGGACTAGCTACGTAGGGAGCAATTGGAAAAGTAATCTCCTGATCAAATGCCAGCCATAGCTAATCAATTACATCTCCCAAAAGAGGAACCAAATGTCTAAAGCAATTCCTCAACTTTCTACGTGGTCCCCGCTTTGATTTCTTATTGCTAGTGGATTTCATCATATCAATTCAATTCTTCATCAGCAATTCCGTTGGTTTGCACAATTTGGGCTGATTGTGAAAAGCTTTTAGAAGCTTTCTCGTGTGGATAAATCTTCTCAAGAATGTCCCCTTTTTAGCATTTTTCTGCTCCATTTTCTAAAATTATATCCAAATACCAAATATAAATATATATTGACAATTAAAACAATATTTGGCAAGAATAAAGAGGAGAATTAACGATAAAATTACTAACAATTTATACCCTATCAATTCCCCCCACACTTAAATCATGCTTGTCCTCAAGTATGGGAACACTAAACTCAACAATGGCTAACTCTCATTTCATTTACTGCCAAGCTATGCTTATCCCAAAATCAAGTTTTAGTGGCTAAGTGTCAAGACATATTTCTCCCGGTTAGCTCCTGAAATCATAGACTCGTCCAATTCATAGCTAACTCGTCTAAGAAATCAAAATATTAAACTAGCAAAAGTTAGCAATTGGGTCAACTGACAACCAAAATCTCAACATTAAAGAACAAGGATCGGCAGGCCAACATGATCATAAGCTTACTTATTATTTCTTCTTTTTTTTTAATAATAAATAATTAAAAATTTTTTTTTTAATAAATGCTCAGTCCCAAGCTATTCAAGTCTTTTGACGTGAACTCTGACATTTTTAGATGAAAGAGCCCAGTTACTCAACTTTTCACAGCTTCAGGACTAACTACTCATAGATATTGCCACTTTTTGACGCGAAAGTCGACACTTGTGGTGAAGACTCCCGATTACTGGGTGACGGCACTAGCGGAGTAGAGTCATTTATTAATCACAATTAAAGTACCAGAATACCAGATAATTAAAGATCATGGCCCACGTCATCTCCTAATATGGAGAACTAAGATCAACAATTGCCCAATCCACACAACAATTGCTAATAAAATATTTATATTGCCTAAACAAGTTAACCACAATTTGCACCAAGTCATTAAACTCATGATATTCACCGAGATAACATGCGTTTACTTGCCATCTAAACAAAATTCATAGGATAAATCACAACCAGCAATAGAAGAGTGAGTTGCCACATTTATTCATCAAGACAACAATAAGAAAAGCAACAATTTAAAGAAACTCCAATCAAATCCAAATCATTCCCCCCACACTTAAAATATACATTGCCCTCAATGTAACAAATATATAGAAAAAGTAAGAAGAAGGGCAACGAAACTCCCCTGAAATCGTCAAGACATCGGTGGATTAGCCCTTGGGGTTGATCTGAGTCTCACCATTTTCTCCAAATATCACTCCAATGAACAATAGACAACCATTTCCAACAAATTGTAATAACAATTCTAATAAATATTGGGGCCTCTCGCTTAGTTAATTTAAACAACAAAATGCATACTTCAATCACCCACAAGTTATACAAATACCCCAACACTTATAGTAAATGCAATCAATAAGCTCTTGTGGTTCCAAACTTAGCCAAATGCAATAACAATGCACCTCAAAATCACCCCAATCAATGTAATAATTGAAATGGAAAAGACCAAAGACTCTCACACAAGGCAATTAGAGACAATCTACTTCAATAAGCAAATTTAAGCATTACAAGCACCTCCTAATTTAACAAACAATCTCAGCAAATTACCCACAATTGGACACAAATTACAGCAATTTAAACACAATTCGACCTAAAATATATATATATATATAATGACAGGTGTCGAAGTAAAATCAATAAAGATATGCAAAACACCCTAAACTAGTATCATCGGTGCACGTATAAGGAATAAGTAAATCACACGACTAACCACAAATCAATCTACTAAATAAATAAAAATCAAGCAAAGTAAAAAGAAACAAGCAAAGTAACACAGAAGTACCCAACTAAGGAGGAATAGAAATGTCAGGTAGTCCAAACACGCAAAACTTTCAAAAATGTACTGTAATAAAAATAATAAAAACATGCTGCAATAATAAAATAAAAAAATAAAAAAAATAATAAAAAGAGATTGAAGCAGACGCGTGCATACGAAGCCAGTGGTGCGATGAAGGTGGTGGCTGTGAGAGAGAAGAGTTTGCGGCAGCTGGATCTGGTGGTGCTCAGCGACTGCGGGTGGTGGGCGACGGGTTGGGGTAGCGCGCGCGAGGGAGCGGCGGGCTCTAGGTGCCGCGCTAGGAGCGGCGATGGCGTCGGTGGAGCAGGAGGAAGGGAGGAGACCTGGGGCGGCGGTGGCTCTGGTTGAAGGAACCAGAGAAAAGGGGAAAGCAGGGAAAGAAGAAAGAAAGAAAGAAAGAAGAAAGAAGAAAGAAAAAGAAAAGAAGAAAAAGAAGGATTTTTTTTTTTTTAGGTCGTCAAACACCGCGTGGGCATGCCAAGATTATAAAACATCCACTGACCTCAGGAGACACCAACGCCGCGTGGGCACGCCAAGATCTCACTTCCTGATTTCAGTAAAGGAAATATGAGTACTGATACTACCCAACGAGTAAATGACCCAATGCAAAAGAACCAACTAGAAAGAACAAAACAACTAGAAATAACAAAACTAATATTTGGGTTGCCTCCCAAACTAGCGCCTTTCTTTAATGTCTTTGGCTAGACATAGCCCATAATTTGCTTAAACCAAGCAAATTGGGTCCTCCAAATGCGTCATCTCTACTCGCTCAACTGGAGCCTCATCATAATAAGGCTTGAGACGATGACCATTCA